CCTGTGTGGGTACTTTTAAGAACATATCAACCTATCTATCCTTTTATAATATTTATTTAAACATAATTGAAACCATTCCTATGTATACTTTTAAATTGCTTGCTTATATAATGAACATTTTTTAATTCAAAGTTTTCAAAAGTTTCAATGACTGTGCAAATATCCTAATTTATACTATATATAAAATCAACCTGTTTTTAGAAATCTGCGCTGTAACCACCTTTTCTATATTTTTGTTGTTGTTAATCCTTTCCCAAGGATATTTTCCATTGATTTTTATTTTATTTTATTTTATTTATTTATTAAATATATTTTTTATTGATTTCAGAGAGGAAGGAAGGAGGGAGGGAAAAACATCAATGAGAGAGAACCATTGATCAGCTGCCTCCTGCACATCCCCCATTGGGGATGGAGCCCACAACCCAGGCACATGCCCTTGACCAGAATAGAACCCTTCAGTCTCCAGTGCAGACATTCTCCCAAATGAGCAAACCTGGCTAGGGCTCCATTGATTTTTAGAGTGGAAGGGATAGGGAGAGACAGGAAAACATCGAGAGATGTTGATTTGCTGCCTTCTGCGGGAGCCCCAACCAGGGCCAGGGATTGAGGCTGCAACCGTGGTATGTGCCCTTGATCAGAATCAAACCCAGGACCCTTCAGTCTGTGGGCCGATGCTCTAACCACTGAGCAAAACCAGCTAGGGTTGTATCCACCTTTTCATTGTTCTAAATAACACTGTGATAAAAAAATCTTTGTATAAATACCTCTGGCTGTTTCCTTACATTGGATTCCTAAACATGGGATTACTGATTAAAGATTATGTATAGATTTATGGAATTTGCTTCACGATACCTACTTGAATTCTGGTCCTGTGCTATTTAATATAGTAGCCACTTAGCCACATGTAGCTATAGTTAATTTTTTTTACATTTTTTTATTAAATTATTATCTGTGTATGCTATAAATTTAAGTGCAATTTAAAACCTGGCTCTGCTGTTGCACCGACCACTAGTCTTTAGTCCATGATAGCCATGCGGAGCTAGTGGCTACATATTGGACAATGAAGACGGAACATCTCCATCCTTTGAGAAAGTTCTAGAGGACAGCACTGTTTTAGAGAAAGCATGCTTTTTGTTCCTCCATATGTCTGTCTATTCCTTTATGAGATTTAAATATTACCATTCCAAGCCTTATTTGACAAGCCAAAAAGGGAGCCTCCATTAAATTCCTAATTGTTTCTAGTTAGAGCTGCCCATTTTGTTAGCAATTGTATTTACCTATGAATTCTTGTTTGCTAGTCTTGATGTTTTTCTTGTAGATCTAGATACCCGAAAGGAGCTGTGCATCTGGTCTCACCTCCGGGCCATGCCCCCCACGGAAGCATATGACACCTCTACTGGAAAAATGTGGGAATACCCTTTCCAAAGGACGATGACAGTTGTCCCACTGTGGTTTTCTGTAGTCTTCCTTCCTCTTTCTTAATTTCCCTGGAGTTCTGGGGGTTTCTGTTTGGTCTCCCAGCTATTTTACTTTGTTATAGTGGCCGGGGCTGCTTCCCTCCATCTTAGTTTGTGCCCATGCTGTCCTGCCTCTCCAGCCTATACTCATGCCAGTGATCCCACAGTACCCTGTGCCTAGTACCTATCGAACACTGTTTAATGGAATACTACACACTGAGAAGACAGAAAAAGTTTATTTTTATTTTTTTTTATAAAAAAGCTAATTTTAATGGAACTTTTGGTTTCAGCAGAGTCTATTGAAGTTTAAATATTTGCTCCCCAACATGGTTCTGCAATACACTTTTGGTATTCCTGATTTATTTCAAAATTTTCCCTTTCTTGGCTGGCAACTGTGAAATAGGGAATCAAGTGCTATCCAATGTAACTGAAGAATGTGTGAGGCAATCAAGTATCCATGCTGCAGGCCCCTCTCTTGCTCTGCCTTAATCCAGAGCAATCATAAACACAATTGCACAGAAACATTTAGGGATGTAGGAGGTACCAAGGGATGCTTTACTTACCCGCAAGAAAGAATCCTTGATTGATGCTTCCCTATGCGCCTCGGGTGGGGGGCCTTGTAGAAACCTTCAGAGCCAACTGCCTTAAAATGTTGCCCAAATTTAATTGAGAGCAAACTACTATGTACCTTCAGTAGGCAAAGTAGGTTGAATGCTGGATAAAACATCCCTTGCTTTATCCCTAATGAGGCCAACACTGATATTATGAGCTAAAGTTGACCTAGAAAACAGTTGTGAGCGTTTTCCTTCCTCTTCAATGACAATAAAAATGGACATGTGTAACTAAGATGGAAGTTGAGGCCAATGGGCATATTGGGCATCTAGCGCCACCTTGTGGTAACACATCCAAATCTGGTCCCTTTCAAGGAGGCCAAGATTTAAAAAATGACAGCCCTCTTCAAGAGGAGTTTGTATTTACTGACAATTATGGGAGAGGTCATTTTCTTGGAGAATACAAACTACAGAAATAACTAGCACTTGACTGGCACTTTGTAGTAAATAAAGCACTCCCATGTGATTTAATCTTGGCAGCAGCCCTGTGCTGTAGGTAGTAGGATCTCAGCCTCAGAGATGTGAAGACTGAGGCTCAGAGAAGTTGGAGACTTGTATTAGGCAAGTCCTAACTATACTCCCAGTTCTATAAGTTATTAATACTATTATATAAAAAACTCACGAGGAATGCATAGCACTATATAGTATAGGGTATAAACTGTGTGGTATAATACATAGTCTAGACCAGTGGTTGGCAAACCGAGGCTCGAGAGCCACATGTGGCTCTTTGGCCCCTTGAGTGTTCAAACACCACTTCTTCAAAATAGACTCGCCCGGGCCGAAAACCGACTACTGCGCATGGGCCACAAAGTTTTGATCCCACTGTACATGTGCGCCCGCATGTGGTTTTTTTGTGGAAGAGCCACACTCAAGGGGCCAAAGAGCTGCATGTGGCTCATGAGCCACAGTTTGCAGACCACTGGCATAGACTATATAGAGAACATACAACATGATATATATGTTACTAGAGTACTTAACGCTGTTTTGTGTGTTTTTTTAATCTTCACCGGAGGATATTTTTCCATTGATTTTTAGAGTGGGAGAGGGAAAGAGAAATATCTGTGTGAGAGAAACACATCGATTGGTTGCCTCCTACTTGAGCCCTGACCAGGGCCTAGGCCAGGGAAGAGCCTGCAACTAAGGTATATGCCCTTGACCAGAATCAAACCCGGACCCTTTGGTCTGCAGGCTGATGCTCTATCCACTGAGCCAACCCAGCTAGGGCTATGCTATTTTCTATAGTACTGCTAAGCAGCACTCGCTACCTTCCTGGGGCTGTTTTCTGTCTGTGAAGCATTCACTCTATCCTATAGGTCCACGAGTATCTATCCTATAGGTCCATCTTCTTTACAAGTTGACTTCAAAGAATAAAACACTGTACAGGTCAGACTCTATATCTGCTCTCACCTACTGTAGCCGTCTTCCAGCCTTCAAAAGAAGGGGAGAGAATATATACAGCAACAGATCAGCAAGAGAAGAAAGGAGTTCCTCTTGCTTCCCCTGCTCCATAGGCCCCTCCTAGAAAGTCAAGGACAGGTGGCAGTTAGAATGTCCAGCAAGCACTCTGCCAGGAGGACTTATTCCAATCATGCAGAAAGCTATGACTATTACCCAGCCCCTCCCACCGAGACCCCTCCTATTCAGATGTGGTTGGGGTTTACGGCCCTGGATTGCTGCATGTATAGTCCAGTCAATATGCTCAAGACAAATGCTCTCATCAACAGCTCCTTCCAAAAAGTGAAACACAAGGGCTTACAGGATCACCTTTAGTGAGCAGGCCAAAAGAACCTGGATTATATTTCATACAGTAAATCATTCTATGAGAATGTTTGGGAACAAGTCGTAGACCAATTTCAGGATTTTCCCCTTTTCTACCAAATTCTAGTTTTTGGCCATGTCCGTCATTACTTCCTAACCACTATTTCCTCATTTCCCAACAGGGAGGTGGGACAGATCATCCACCACATCTCTGGAGAAACTGCATTGGGCAGATGAGGGGAGGAGGAGGGTCGAGGTGGTGGCCTTCTTTTCTCTCCCTTGGGGTAGTGTGGCAAGGAATGGCCCAATTATAAGGTCTTAAGGATTAGGTAGGAAGACCTGGCCAGATAGCTCCAGCTGGCCAGAGTGTTGCCCTGATACCCCAAGGTTGTGGGTTTGATCCCTGGTCAGGGCACATACAAGAATCAACCAATGAATGCATAAATAAGTGGAACATCAAATCAATGCCCCCCCCCCACCTTTTCTCTCTAAAATCAATAAATTAAATTTTAAAAAATTAGGCTGGGAGCCACATTGGGTTCTTAAGACACAGCAAAGTGGCTTTTGTGGAGCACTGGTCTTGAAGAGACGCATAAGTGAACTGAAGCGGAGAAAAATGAGCATATGAGACACTAGAAAAAGAGAAGAATAAAGAACAAACCTTCAGACTAAAAATACACACAGATGTGTTATTTTGCTCTGTTTGGCCTAATTTTTTCTAAGGGTTGTTGGACATGCTGTGCATGTCAGACACATGTGTAAGTAACATAAGAATAACAAAGATCTCTAAGTGCGAGTGGGCCCTTAAGCTTTCCTACAGGGACTTTTACAGTTGGACAACGTGGCTAAATTACATCTAGGACTTCCTTTACTTTTCAGGCCTTGCAATTTTATTTGCTTTTGCATTTATATAATACATGTGTGCCCTCTCTCTCTCTCTTTCTCTGTCCCCCCCTCTCCCTCTCTTTCTCTCTCTCTCACACTCACACACACACACACACACACACACACACACACACACACACACACTCCTTTTGTATTTTTTTACTTTTTAATACAAAAGTTATATATGCTCATTGAAGAAGTTAAAACACAAAGATATAGAAAATAAAAAGAATGACATTAAACATTCCTCTACAAGGGGAGGCATAAAAGTCCATCTTATGAAAAAAGGTCAGGACCTGTGAGCCAGGCCCAGGGTCCCAGGAGTTGGGTTCGTTGGAGACTTTCGGAATTTGCTCTGAAGGAAAACTCTTGGCACACAAAGACCTTCTTTTTTGTTCACCGTCTCACGAAACACATACTCGTTCACCACTTCTTCATAACCCGAGTCCGTAAAGAGCTGAGCCAGGAATTCTGTAAGACAGCAGATCAACAATGCCCAGTGCTGGCGTCACTACCCGTGCTGTGTGGAGGGTTGAGGACTCCTCCGAAGGACTGCAGGGCTTAGACAGATTTTTAAAATGTAATGAAAACGTCAACATGAAAATTTAAAGGTTTTGTTTTGTGAAGTAACACATTCCTACTTCTCTTCATCTTACACCCAAATAGAAAGCCCCCCAATAAAAATGTAATCAGGGAAAAAAGTTTGTGGACTATGCCCCCCGTGCCCTATTATGAGTCCCCAAATGCAAAGGTCTGAGTAAAAAGAACAAAATTCCAAACTGGGTGTATTAATACAAAGTGTATATGAGTTCAGTTTGTTTAGATCAAGCACCTCCTCGATCCTAATATGAAGGAGGAAAATCTGTGACCAGTGTGGGGGGAAAAAATCATCTGGTGGTGGTATACCCCACAGAAAGGAAAATTTAACCCAAATAACGTATCACTACATGTTAAATGAAACAATAACATTACAACACATTTTTAATAATTTTCAACTGACATTTTCTCTGATTCTGCAGTTTGAATGGTAATCATTTATTTTTTCTTTAGAATCCAAAAGAATATTTTATTTCAAGAAATATAAATGTTCGTAAAAAACAGAGCTTAAGAAGGTAATTTATCTTATGGTCCATTATTAAACAGGTTTAAAACCCATGTTCAAAATGCTACACTTAGTGTTTGGATGTATTTAATTTAAATATGACCTTTTAATTTAAATAGGACCTATAGCAAAATTGTGCATTTAAATACAGATCCAATCACTTTTATAGAAAAATGTTTTTCCGTAACCTGGGAAAGTAACCAAAAGGCAATATACTGTCCTATTATTTTTGTGTGAACAAAGTGAAGATGACCCTGAGTTGGCCCTCCCCTTCCAGCAGTTCCTAGTAGGGTGTCCACCTGGCACCCCAGCCTGTCCGTTAACCCAGGCCAACTAGACACCATCACCAGAGGAGGCCTGTGAGCTCACCACAGCCAGGGGCTGAGTCTATGTCGTCCCAGGTTCTAGGGAAGGGGCACATGTCAGAGAGCTTATTCCAGGGTCATGGGCATGTGTGCTACTAAGTACATATCCCCATCCCAACCAGTAACACAGTGATAAAGCAATCAAGTAAGCACAAATAAAGACAGAGTCCAATAATCTTACCGTCAGTAAAAAAATACGTTCTGGTTCCATCTTGTCTAACATAAAAGTTTTCGCCAAGTTTGCTTCCAGCTTTAAACCTAAGCATGGCGTGATCATATAGCCCATAGTCACGAAAGAGGACACTTTTGCCTGGTTTCAATACCTACAAAGCAAAAGCAGGCTGCATATAATTCTGGGGAACTAAATAAAGCTTTATAGAGATGGATTCAAGCTAAAATAAAACCTGATTCAGAGATGAAATTAACTTACATTTATGATAATTAGGAAAGGGTGAGACTGAAATCCTCATAATATGGAGGGAAAAGGCCTGCTAATCTAAGGTGCAGCCAGACCTGGCAGTATGCCCACGAAGGGACACTTCCTGAGCACTTACAAGAGCGCTCTGGAAGGTCGAGTGTCGCACAATTAAAATGTTAAAGATATTAAACAAAAGTCATACCTCATTAAGACATGTTCTAGCATTTTACTAACCATCTCCTGGCACATGACCCTGTAGTCAAACTAGTCAAACTATCGCTTTTTTAAAAATATGTCATTTTGGCTTTTACTGATTCTGGCTGGCTTTCCTCATTCTGAGTCTCAGCTCTGGTTTCTCTGTGCTACAACTATGGACAGCTTCCCCATCGTGCCAATGCCTGACATATGCCCAGCTCTGTACAGCTTACCTGGCATTGTCTCACTGGATCTGCACCCGATTCTGAAGAAGGAAGGACTATGATTACTATCCTCACGTGAGATGAGGAAACAGACATCAGAAGAGGTAAGGGATTTGCCTACAATAACTTATCAGCTACTAAGTGGGGGAGTCAGGACCCACAATTGGGTCAAAAGGCATCTGTAAGCTCTGGTGTGTGTGTGTGTGTGTGTGTGTGTGTGTGTGTGTGTGTGTGTGCCACTGATACTACTGACAAGAAAAGAGAGGCGAGGGAGGGGGTTATGTTAAAATATGTACACAGATAATAATTTAATAATAAAAAAAAATAAATATAAAAAAAAGAAGAGAGGCTATGAGGGGACAAGTAACTGACTGTTTTTCCCACACCGTGCTGCACTCCTCAATGTGCGAAGTGGATCAGGCAGGTGCAGGAACGTAGGGAAGAGGTTCAATGTCAGGCCCAAGTGGGAACCCTCACTAAAGCTTTCAGAGATAGACATCACAAGGTAGATGTCTCAAAAACTGGAAAGTAAGATCAGCAGGAGTGGGTATAACTGCTCCTGTCTTACAAAGCAAGTAACCATATGCTTTCAGGATGAAAAGAAAGTGGTACACACTAACACTTTATATGTGAAAATTCTTTCAAACTGCATTAATTTTACCAAATTAGAATAGACTTCAAAGGGGGCACTAATTTTATTAACTCTTACTCTGACCCATCACATAAACAAGATAAGGCATGATATATACACCTAATATAATAGATATTCGACATAGTTTGATGCACTCTTCTTTCTAAATAGAATATAAAGTATTATCCAGAATACTTTTAAGTGTGCTAGCAGATTCTCTCATTTAGAAATTTCTTATCAATACTAGCATGCATTTTAACTGTTGTCAGTAAAGAGGCTCTTGGATAAAAACATTCTTACCTTGGTCAAAAATGCTAAGTTTTAAAATGTGAATAATTGAGAGGAAAAAATTCTGAAAAAATCAGCTCATATGAGAAAGACTATTCTCCCTTTCAGAAGGGAATGTTACACAGAACAGTGGAAAAAGCACTCAGGAATCTGGGAATCATAATTCATATCATAGTTCTTCCATTAATTAGTTGAATGATGTTGAGCAAGTAATTTCATGCCTCTGGATATGTTTTCTCATCTGTAAAATAATAATGATGATACGAATGCCTCCTTTAATCATGGCATTGTATATTAAACCAGGCATTTCTCAATATTAGGTTCTTTTATTCCCCCAGTAACACAGAGAAGTGGGTAGGTTAGGTCTATTATACCCACTTTACAGTAAGTTAGGATCAGAGTAAAATGATTTGCCTGAGTTTTCAAGGCAAGTTGGTGGCACAGATAGAACAAAATCCAAATCTTCCAATGACAAATTTGGTCTGCTTTTACTTCACCATTATATTCCAAAAATTAGGTAATTCAACTGAAAGGTTTACTTTCAGTTTAAAATTACATGGTTTTTTAAATTTTTCTGGTGTTAACATCCTGGAGTAATTAAATCTACTTTACAATAACTTTTGTAATTCTTTTAATATATTCTTTTTAAAAAAATTTATTTTAATATATTCTTAACTAGACAATTATATTATCGGAAAGTAGTAAGTTTTGTTTCTTTCTCATCCTCAAATCTTTTCTTGTTTTTTTGCGTTGACTAGGACCTCTGTATAATGATGAGCAGTACTGGTAGTGGGCACCCTCAGCCCCATAAAGTTTCTGATCTTCCATATTCTACTCTAACTGCTACCTAACCCCTGAAGCCTCCACCAGTGAAACCATCAGTATCCGCAGCCTCTTCTGAATGTTCTCTTCATTCTTGTGTTAACAGAAACCTCACTGTCCCAATGACGCTTTTCCCTGCAACCTCTCAAGTCATGGCTGTGTTTTCTCCCACTGCCCTTGTACCACCGGGAAACCTAGCTGGTTTCCTCCCTCGCTCCTCATTGCTCCTTTCTGTGCATTCTCCTTTCTCCTCCCTGAAACCCCCAGCTCTGAATCTCTTGTCATCAGATTGTATCACCCGTATCCCTTACTTGATACCAATGTCTATTAGTTCCATGGCCATATCCCTTCATTTCATGATGAATGTATCTTTGGGTTTACTCTCTTATTCTCAATACTATTCCATTCTTAATTCTGGTCAATTCAATACACACGTGCATTATCCTTCCAAATATGCTGGCTTCTTAATGATTTGAGCTTCTCTTTCAAAGATCCTGTCCTCCACCCTGCTTAACCCACTCACTCCCATGATAATGTCCTAAAGTTTTGTCAGCACTAAAGTGTGTAACTTCCCCATATTCTCAAAGTCATCCAGGTCATTCTCTGACCATCCCCACCATCTTTTTAGTTCTCTCTCTAGTTCTCCATCTTTAATAATCCTTCACCCTCACCGGACCTTCAAATCAGGTGATCCTACTATCTTTCCTAATGTCCTCTCTTCCCTGTTTACCCAGCTTAAGTTCCATGCCCATTTATTGGTATGTGCTGGGTTCTCATCTGCTCAGATACCAGTAATAGGTAAAGGAAAAGTTAAGGAGAAAAAAAATAACCTTACAAAACCTCAGAGGGCTAAAACAAAAGTGGCAATATCTGATTTTTTAAAAAATATTGTTTTAAGTGCAAGTAATTATTCCCTAACAGGTTTCTAGTGTTTTAAAATTTCTACCTCACTACTCTTAAAACAACTAAAAACAGGGTAAAATTTTAATGTACAACCAGCTCTACATACACAAATGCTGTCATACCTAGCATCTACCTTTCATCCTGCTGAATGCTCTCCTCTCCTTGTAGAGCAGACTGACTGAAGCCCATGACTCATTGAATAGGTGAGGCTTACAGGCTTTAGATCATGCACACTTGTACTTTAGTGCCCCTAGGTGAGCTGGCTGCAGAATTACCATTGGTCACTTGTGTTTGTTCCCAAACTTGCTTGTGCTGGTTGTACTTAGATTTATAATTATACCAGAGGCCCGGCACACAAGATTCATGCACAGGCCTGTAATCAGAGCCACTCTTCCCCAGCTGCCGGCAGCTGGTTCCACCCCTCATCCTCTGTGTATGGGGCGAATGTCCGAGTATTGGGGCCCCCGGTTTTGCCCACATCCTCTGCCACCCACCCCCGGTTCCCAATTCCCCATCAGGCAATCAGAGCCTGCCAGCTGGAAGGGAAAGACAAAAAGGTTGGTTGTTCCCACCTGCTTGATGGTCCCGCCTCCTGCTGCCACCAGTCACCCTCTGTGTGTAGGACAACCGGTGGGGCGGTTGGGGCCCCAGTGCCACCTGTGTCTGCTGCCACCCACCCTGGTTCCCTGTACCCCATCAGATGATTGGGCCTACAAGCTGGGGGCAGCTCCTGCGTTGAGCGCCTGCCCTCTGGTGGTCACTGCGCGTCATAACTGACTGGCTGTTCTACCACCTGGTCGATTTGCATATTATGCTTTTATATATATATAGGTATGAGTATATAAACAACCTACATATATAAAAACCTAAGTGGCCTTCCAATCATCCTACCAGTAGCTATGATGCGCAATGACCATCGGGAGGCAGATGCTCTGACTAGTAGCTATGATATTCACTGACCACCAAGGGGCAGATGCTCAACACAGGAACTACTGAGCTGTGGTGACTTGGCAGCTGTGGTTCTCTGGTGACACACCCAGTATCAGAGAAGAGGAAGCCCGATTCCGAGATGTGTCACCCAAGAACTGCCCTTTCACAATCCGGGACCCCTTGGGGGATGTCAGAGAGCTACAGGCCAGGCCAAGGGACCTCACAATGCGTGAATCCGTGCACTGGGCCTCTAGTGTAATATAAATGTGAATAGAAAGCATTTTTATTTTCTATGAAAAGTACATTGAATACTTTGGGAAAATTTGATAAAGAAGCACTGAACAAATTGCTATTTGATTAGGTGTGTGTGAGTCAATTATGAAAGCCTGGGTAAGAATGTAAGAGACTGTTCCAGATTCCTTTCCAATTGCTTTTAAGTTCTTAACCCACTTTTAGAGAAATCAAACTCTTTTTTATGCGTGGCCCATGTGAGAAAGATGTTCCCAAACTCAAAGAAAAGGCCTTGGCTCTACATCTAAAGAGTGACAAATGAATATTAATATATTTTAAGTTACAATAACATGTTTAAAGTAAAAATTTACATTTTTAGAATTGCTTGATTTTGTTGATTTTTTAAATTACTCAACATCACCACCAACTGACTGTACAGATAAGAAAGCCTTGTTTACAAAGTACCCTCACACCTAATCTCACCTGCATCTCGGGATAACTCTGTGAGTGAGACACACCCCTGTTTTACAGACAAGGAAATTGAGGCTCAGGGAAGGGAGATGAGATGGTTTCCTTCAGTCCTATGACTTACACGTGAAGCTTTACTTCCGGAGTACTGTAGCCTCCTGGTGGCCACAGCACTTTGGGTTCTCCCCATTTGAATAGCAACAATGGCAGTAACAACAACAATGGCTGACTTTTAAAGAACACTTATTACGTTCTAGACATTGTGCTAAGCACTTTATACTAGTACATGTATCTAGTTAAGTATTATCTCAACATTTCTACAGGTAATAAAACTGAGGCTCAGAGAAATAAAGGAACTTACCTAAATAGGGAAGCCATATTTTGACTCTAGACACTGTGACTCCTGATCAATGAAACACACTTCCTCTCCCTAGATCCCAGGTAAAAATCATCCTTGCTCCAAGGCTGGCCAAGCTCTGAAGAGCAGTGATGGCCACCAGACAAATCAAAGTTTAGGGTGGATGATTTTTACCCAGAATCTTTTCATACAAAGCCTACCTATTGATAAATGGGGGCTCTTGAATATAGATGGTATATGAGCCTCAGAGAGAAGGTAAGCAAGACGACTGGGATATCCAACCCCAAAAGTGCAGACTCCAAATTACTAACCTTGTAAATGTTTTGTAAGACAAGGTGCATCTTATCAGGGTGAACAGCAGAGAGCACAAATATCAACATGACAACATCCACAGACTCGGGGGGCACATGTTCCGTAAGGTCATCTTTAGTTAGATCACACTGGAATGCCTTGCATCTTTCTGTGTCATATAGAGGATTTTGCTAAAGAGGAAAAACACAAATGAATTTTAATGCAATATCCATGTTGATACATATAGAAAAATACAGCCTCAAAAGGAGATCGTGTTTCCACTTGTTTGCCACTGCACAGAGATCACCGATCACTTCGTTATGGGTAAAACCGAGTAATGAGCCATTTGCACGTTAAAGAATGGAATATTCAATATGAGGGGCAAGACTTCATTTTAACAAATCATTTTTAACTGAGGAGAGAATCACATATTCAAAACTGAGCATTTTAGAAGCGTATACTTCCAGAGGGATAATAATCCAAAACAGGTCTCTGCTTCCTTAATCCTCCTCTGAGTGAATCATCCACTATAAAACTAAACTTACAAGAAGTTTTCCCAGCTCCCACAGTTCTCCTGGTATACCTTGACGCAGCAAGCTAAATAAACCTAAGTTCTTTTTACTACAATCGTGTTCCTGGTGCACTTTGGTTGCTGGGTTTAACACACTTTTAAGCGTGTTATAAAGAAAAAATATAAAACTCTGCTAAATGTAAATAAGGACCTGAATAAATAGAAAGACATACGCAGTTACTAAGTGGAAAGATTCAATATTAAAAAGATGCCAACTCTATCTATCATTCCACTTACAAATCCAGTGAAATCTCTACTAAATGCTAGTAAATTTTTAGAAACTTGACAAGGTAAATGATCAATCTGGAAGTGAAAATCTTTAGGAATAGCCAAGTCAACTTTTAAAAATGAAGACTATGAAGGAGAAGTGTAGTACTAACATAATGTGGTTTGAGAATGGGAACAAATAGACATTGGGAAAGAGGAACAAGTTCAATAATGACACAAAGAAACATTTTGGAATGTGGGATCTCATTACAGGAAATGGCTCATTTTCCAAAAGCTCATTGTCAGTGCGGAAGAGGGTCAAAGGGAAGAGCAGGAATGTTTTAGACCAGTGGTCGGCAAACTCATTAGTCAACAGAGCCAAATATCAAGAGTACAAGAATTGAAATTTCTTTTGAGAGCCAAATTTTTTAAACTTAAACTTCTTCTAATACCACTTCTTTAAAATAGACTCGCCCAGGCCGTGGTATTTTGAGAAAGAGCCACACTCAAGGGGCCAAAGAGCAGCATGTGGCAGTTTGCTGACCATGGTTTTGGGCTAAGGAGATTTAAGGTACATAATGAAACATAAGATGTAGTCCTTGATTAAATATAGCTATAAAAAACACCTAGGACTATCTGGGGAAATCTGAATCTGGATTGGGTATTGATGACATTAGGGGATTAGAGTTAAATTTGTTATACATGTGTTTTGTGGTTATATAGAGAAAATTCTTATTAAAGATGTATGCAAACATGTTTAACAGTGAAATATCTGTAACTTAAAACAGGTCACACACAAAAAAGTCTAAAACAAATTCCACAAAATGCTGGCAATCATTAAATTTGGTTTAAGTAGCTTGGCTCGTGTTGTTCAGTGGTTGAACCAAGAGGTCCCCAGTTTGATTCTTGGTCAGGGCACAGGCCCAGGTTGTGGGCTTCATCCCTAGTAGGAGGCAGCCGATTGATGCTTCTCTCTCATCAGTGTTTCTCTCTATCCCTCTCCCTTTTTCTTTCTCTAAAATCAATAAAAATATATATATATTTTAAATTATGATATTTCTTTCTACTTTTCTGAACAAAGCTGTCTATCTATAATTATTATATATGTATGTAAATGGAAAACTACATTTTTAATCATCATAGCTGGTCAACTACAGGGAGAGAACAGAAATTGGGCAAATGGGTATAAAGGGCATGTTAAACAAATCTAAAACACCAGAAACATAAGAGAATACATGGATGGTGCACCAACCTGGACATATTCAACTGCTCTTGGAGAAAAATCACAGGCATAAGCAAAGATATTCAGATCTTCTAAAAGTGGGAATAAACAGTTCCCAACTCCACAGCCAGCTTCAAGCACAGTCAATTTTTGATTTTCAAACTGAGGAAAGAGAACCCAAAGTTGGAGTACACTACGTTTGCATAACAAAGAAATAAACCAAACTAAAAGATCCAGAACATGCAAGAAAAGATCTCTGCCCTCAGAGGCAATAAATAAGTAAATCGATAACCTAAAGCTAATACTGACATCTCAATTTGTCGTCCAACATTGGGCAGTTTGGTGTGGAAAAAACACAGCATTAACAGCTCGAGACTTCTCCCCTCATGTCTGTTTCCTGTTGTTGGACTAATCAAATAAATAGCTTTGTGCCCTAATTTTATCGGTAAGTGGGGTTAACACTAACGCCTACTTCCCAGTGCTATTACAGGCTTAAATCACAGATGCAAAGTTCTAGAAAAGGGCATGGTCAAGTGATCATCATTATGAATCTGTCACTGAAGTTCTTCAATATGAATTTAACACTTACAATGTTCAGATTAGCTATAAAAAAACAAAAATGCCCACTAAAACTCTCTCCTATGTATTATACAACCCAGGAACTGCTAAAACTACTTGAGACCAGTCTACCTCTTTCTAAGGTATAAAATATTCTGACAGGCTTTATAAATGATGTACCTCACTTCCATAAAAATGCAACAAAACGCTCTTTTTCTACACATTTTAAATGAAGAATAGCTCATTCTTGGCTGGTGTGGCCTGGCTGGAACATTGCCCCGTACCCGGAAAGATGGCAGGTTTACTTCCCAGTCAGGCCATATACCCAGGTAGTGGCTTAGGTTCTCAGTCAGGGCACATTCAGAAGGCAACCGACCGATGTTTCTCTCTCTCCCTTCCTCTCTCTAAAATAAATTTTTTAAAAATTTTAAAGAAATAACAGCTCAAAGGTGTAACATTACCTCCCTACATGATCTGAGCTCCTCAAACTCTCTGGTGGTCCAGTGTCTATCTTTGAAGAAATTAGTACTATTTCTTTTGTAAAAAAGATCCCAGTTCTTCTGAGCCTCTTTTTCCAGTTTTTGTTGTTTAAAATCCGACACTAAAGTTTGGTCCCTTTTCAGTTTCTCCTCTTCTTCGGAGCTGAGAATCCTCGCTTGCACCCCCTTCCTTTGCAAAGATGCCATCTCCTAAGCTGACGGTCACGTATTTAACACTGCTGAAGGCTCTCCGTCCCTGAACAACGTGAGGAATCCAAGCTTACTCTGCAAACATAGGCAGGGTTTTCTCAGATGTGGTTGTTCAGGTTCAAGGCTCAGGTGACATTCCTATTTTGCAGGAAAAAGAATGAGATTCTGGTTAGTGGTTCCAGAACAGCTCCTTGCGAGGCGGAGTTAGTGGTTCTAGAACAGATCTTTCCCCAAACTGTTCAATTCACCACACATTTACTGGGGCTGACTCTACACAAAACCCTGCCTGCCATAGAGAGGTCACAAAGAAACTCAAGACAAAGTCCCCGCCATCAGAGGGCTTACATTTAGTGGCCCACGGCTCTCTCACACACAGAACTCTAACGCAAACCAGAAGAACTCATCTATTAAAAGAAATCGGTTTAGTTCAGAAAAAGGACACTCCTAAGGACTGACCGAGAAACACTGGTGAGAAAATACTCATTAATTTTGGGGGTGACTTAAGGAATGACTTAACAACAACCGCCACAACTCCCCGGACTGGATGCGGGTGGTCCATTGCCAGACATTAGTGAGATCACCGTTTCCCAAGGATCGGAGACCCAGTTTTGAAAGAGCCACGCCCGGGGGGCTGAGGCCCTCGCACCAAGAACACGGCACGAAGGGGAGGAAGAGACCGAGTGAGTCGTGGCATAGGATTCCGAGAACCCATCTGTCTCGTGAGACTCGAGCTAAGCGAGGAGGCCCCGGCCGCTATAGGGCCTGCGGCGAGCCGGTCACACTGGCTGTCAGACCCGCGTGGATCTAGCTCGCGGCGTCCTGGGCTCACCGTCATCAGTTTCTAGCTTCACCTGGAGGGGTAGGGCCGGGCGCACTCAGCCCTCAGCCGGGCCCAGGCCTCGGGAACAGAACTTGGAAGCCGCCGCGAAAAAAACACACACAAAAAAAACCCTGAGCTTGGACAAACCAGCGCCGAGGACCTCAGGATCCCGGCGGAATTCTATTGCCATGGCACCGCCGCCGCCACTTCCGCTACGAACCCGGAAGTACCTCCCTGACGCCGGAAGTCCCGTGGCCTTGCTTCCGCAGGGGCTTCTCTCAACCCGACGCGGTGGAGACTCGCTTCCGGCCCCGGGTGGGCGCCGATTGGAACCCCGGTGCGCTGCGGAGCGGTGTCCCGGGAGCACCGCTCTCCAGAAAGCCGGCGCCGGAAGCGCGTACGGTGGCCGCGGCGCCGGCGGAGCGCCGTTCCGGGCGCGAGGCCCGTGCGGGGCCATGAACGGGACCGCGAACCCGCTGCTGGACCGCGAGGAGCACTGCCTGCGGCTCGGGGAGAGCTTCGAAAAGCGACCGCGAGCCTCCTTCCACACCATTCGCTGTAAGTCGGCGCTCTCCACGGCTCCCTCCGGCCGCCTCTTGCCATCCTTGGCCTCCAAAGTGCGGGGAACCCCCTGCCTACGTCAGTTCCCTCCTCTCTTATCCCTGAATCCTCGGGACCTCGATTTTCTCCCTTCTCCCTCCCGCTCCTCACCAGCTAACCCTTCCCAAACCAAACCCTTCGTCACTCCTAACCATTCTTCGGTCTCGTGGCCCCAAACGCTTCTTCCGAAGTGCATTGACCCCTCTCTCCTTTCATCTCTCCAGCCAGCCCTTCCTTTATGCCAAACCTCTCCCCTTCTTTACTCCCGAAAGGCTCTGACCCCCACATCAGACTCCAGTTCTTCCTCTAATCCACCCCCTTTCTGATTACCCTCCCACTCCCTGCTGTTTCATTCTCTTTTCCCCCCTTTTCCTCGGCTTTCTCCCCTCGCCCGTCTTTGCTCTGGGCGCCCTGAGTCACACTGCGCTCCATTCCCTCTTGCAGCCAAATAATGCGCATCCTCCCTGCGCCCTATCAGAGTCTTCCTCCCCCAGCTATCCGCACCTTCTTTGACATGGATGTCTTTTGAGGGCACTCATGCTTTCCTGACTTTTAACTCAGGACCAAGTCCCTTGTAGGTGAAGAATAACATTCGAATGTGTGAGCCTGGATCAAGTTAAACCTTGATCTATGCTTGGAAGCAGAAGACAGCAGGCCTAGAGAATGTCGAAATAGTCATTATGCTGGACCATCCTTTCCCTCCTCCCTCTGAGGAGCGAGGGCACTCCCACTCTTTCTTTCCCATGTCCTGGGTAAAGATTGGGCTTTTAAGTAATTGGCTGACTGAGCGTCCCTCTGTGATTCACATGCTCCTCAGTTTCCTGTCTCGTAATGCTAATGCTAGTTAAGACTTGTTTTTGTCTAAGGATCTAATAGATGTGACTCAACACATAGGGAAAAGGGTGTGTCAGGTAATGAGGCTCTATCTTTGTGTGGTCACTTGCAGGCCATTGCTGTGCTCACTGCTGACAGCAGAGCAGCTCTCTCAGAGGGAGGATATTGGGAATGTGATAAGACCATCATCTCTTGAGCAGTGTACTAAGTTGTTTTAGGAGGGTGAAGGGCAATGTGAAACGTAAAAGAGACACGTCTCACATGCACCTGGCCTGCAGTTTGAGGCAGGCGTGTGTTAAAATGGAGTAAGATGCTTAACCTGGTTTGGCTCAGTGGATAGAGCTTCAGCCTGCGGACTGAAAGGTCCTGAGTTCGATTCCCGTCAAGGACATGCACCTTGGTTGCAGGCACATCCTCAGTGGGGTGTGTGCAGCAGGCAGCTGATCCATGTTTCTCTTTCATTGATGTTTCTAACTCTCTATCCCTCACTCTTCCTCTGTAAAAAATCAATAAAATATATATATTTAAAAATAAATAAAGTGGAGTAAGATTTCTTTTTGTTGTACTGCAGTTGCAACTCAGAAGTACGGGCAGGATTAACCTTTAGAGATCAAGTTCAGCTGTAGACTCTGAACATCTGCAGGAGTATCTATGTTAAAGCTTTGGAACTTGCCTGTGCAAATGATAATTTTGACAGTTCCTATGCAAAATGAAATCAGCTTATATGATGCAGCTTAGGGTTTTATAATCACAGAATCTTAATATGTTGTTGCTTTTGATCCTCACAACAGCCTAACAAAGCACTTTATAATGATAATAAGCATTCATTTTCATCCGTCACTGGGGAGAAGGAATTGTCTGTGCTTAATTAAATGGTACATAAATTCTAGCTCCCCCCCCCTCAAAATAATCCATTTGGGGTGGAAGGAAAAGTATGCAGAGGAATAGATGAAATAAGATTGTCCAGAGTTGGTAATTACTGAGGCTGAGTAATGATGGTACACAGAGGTTTATTACACCATTCTCTTTGTTTTTGTATATTAGAAGTTTTTCACAAAGGAATAGTGTTGTTTTTTTAATATTCTAAATCCTTTGTATTTTCCATTTATCTGAATAATTCTTAAATGAGAATGCCTAGAAAACTCTCAGTATAAGTAACCTGATGGATAAATGCTTTTTTCCCCCTTTCCCTTTAGATGATTTTAAGCCAGCATCTATAGATACCTCCTGTGAAGGAGAGCTTCAGGTTGGCAAAGGAGATGAAGTCACAATTACACTGCCACATATCCCTGTAAGTTTTTTACATTGTTGTTGTTTTAAATAAATTCTCCTATTTTACATTATTGTAATTTGAATTACCTATGTTTAAAAATGTCAGCATAAGGAAAAAAGAAATTTGGGATATGGGTTTGAGTAGAATGCATCCATCCCAGGTGCTTGATTAGAAATGATTTTTTTGTCATTTACCCAGGCTCCCTTTTACTGTGGAGTAGACAAAGACCCTCTTTTAGTCAGGCATAGCTTTTTCCCAAGCAGCTCCACAGAGAAAAGCCATAGGTTCCATGTTAATGTACAGCAACACCAGTTTAGGAGTGTGGAGCTGCCAAACCATGACTCAAGGTGGGCAGGAGCAGGACTTACATCTTTCATGTAATACTAGAGGCCAGGTGCACAAAGTTTGTGCACTCAGTGTGTGTGTGGGAGGTCCCCTCAGCCTGGCGTGTGCCCGCTCGCAGTCCCAGAGCCTTGGGGGCTGTCCCCTAAGCTGGGAGTCAGACATCCTTAGCACTGCTGCAGAGGTGGGAGAGGCTCCTGCCATTGCTGCTGCTCCCGCCAGCCCAAGCTGTGAGCCCGGCTACTGGCTGAGCAGCGCTCCCCCTGTGGGAGCACACTGATCACCAGCTCCCGAGTTGAGCATCTGCCCTTTGGTGGTCAGTGCGAATCATAATGACTGGTCGTTCCGTCATCGGGCCAAAACCAGCTCTTCAACATCCCCCGAGGGGTCCCGGATTGTGAGAGGACACAGGCCAGGCCGAGGGACCCCACAGTGCACAATCAGGGCTGGGGAGGCATGGGAGGGTGGCCAGTCAAGGAGGGACAGCCGGAGGGTTCCAGGGCATGTCCAGCCTATCTCACTTAAGTCTGATTGGCCAGATCCCAGCAGCAAGCTACTGGTTGGAGCATCTGCCCACTGGTGGTCAGTGCACATCATAGCGAGCAGTTGAGCAGCCTTAGCATATTACTCTTTGATTGGTTGAATGGCCAACAGGATGACAGGACACTTAGCATATTAGGTTTTTATTTTATAGGATATATGGGGTGATGTGTAGGCTGATAGTTTCAAGAAAGAACCAGAAATTCAGAGCATTCAGCTAATTGAGGGATGAGGAGCTCACTTAAAGGCTGAATTGGGAACCCTTGCAGAAGGAGAAAGGCTTTTATGAAGCCTTGCCCAAGGCAGCATTCCGATCACAAAGTCTGAAGGATTACACAGAATACTTGAGTGAACATGTATCATTGCATGTCACAGCCCTGCCCTGGAACAAATGAGTTCTTGCTCACCGGTGACAGAAGGAAAAGACTCTGGACAGGGAGACCTGGGAACGTTTGTGCCAGTTCAAACTGCTGTTTCATTACTTGTTGCCTTTGGCAGGTTACATCCTCTCCTTTTTGAGCATACTTTCCAAATGTAAAATAAAGGGGTTAGATAAACGGTTCCTAAGGTCCGTTCCCACTCTTAGGTTTTTATTGTATGAGTGAGGAGCCAAACAGGTTTTGTTTCTGTACAAAGGATTAAGTTCTATATTTGGAAAATATTAATTGCACCTACTATGTGCTGGTCCATCACTAGACACTAAGAATACAGTCTTGAATAAAACAAGCACATTTTTTGGCCTGTGGAGTTTATGATATGGAATTTAAATATAAGAAAACATATGCTTATTTTAGAAAATCAGGGAAGGTTTCTCTAAGAAAGACCTTTGAGTAGATCTGAAGTTTGAGTAGTTGAAAGAGAGGGAAGGGCAGGTGTTATAGGTCAAAGCCTTGTTAAAGTGGTAAAATAAAAGAGACAAGATCTCAGGGAATGCCAGATGCCTTCTACTCTGGAGTGTGCATAGCACATGGATGAGTGGTGCTGGTGAGGCTGAGGAGCTACATGGTTTAAAGATTTAATTACTTGACCTCAGCAATGGGGTAGTGATCAAAGGGCCTCAGCAGGTGAGTCGCAGGATGTACTTCCTCTGAGCTAAGCAGAAAAATGGGCTGCCCTTTGAGATGCTTTGTTGGTTACTTGGCATGACGGGGAAGCCATGAACTCTCCAATTATGAGGCAGGACTAGAGATCTTTCACTAGCTCTTCTCAGTGTAATACAAGTAATGGTTAATTTTCCTCCCCTCATTTCACACTTTACTATTATTAGTAACATTTCCTAAATCCCTAGAACAGTGTACATACAGTAATTTAAAACATTTATATTACCTTTCTTTATTACTTAGAACCAGTTACAGTCATAGGTTCTTGCTATATTATTTCCCTTTTATTTTTACCTGGGAAGTCAAGAGTTCTTTTTGAGTCTCTGATAAAAGATTTGATGAGGTAGAGTCACCTGTAAATTTATTTTTTATATTTATAACTGGTGTGTTTAGTTTTGATCATATACATTCTGTGCCATATAGGGATCCACACCACCAATGACTGTGTTCAAGGGGAACAAACGGCCTTATCAGAAAGACTGTGTGCTTATTATTAATCATGACACTGGTGAATATGTGCTGGAAAAACTCAGTAGCAGCATTCAGGTCAAGAAAACAAGGTATGTGACAGAGTGATGTGACTTTGCATTTGTGTTATCTATTTGGTTATTTATAAGATTGTGAGTATCTGGGCATTCAGTCTCCTATTGATAATCTCAATAACTCCACCTATGCCTTCTCAGACAAATCCATAAACTATCTTTTCCTCAAATGTAGTAGAAAGAAATAATGCTTTTAAAATCTGCAAGGTGAAAGCCATTGAGTAAAGAGGTGTATTTTATAAATAAGTTGATTTTATTAATCTCATAATTTTTGAAACAGTACCACTTAAGGGATAAAACTTAAATTTATATACTTATAATTATGAAAGGATAATTGAATAATATATACCCTTTATTAGTGTGAAAACAATCATTTTCTTAACTTGTTTCACAAATAATAAAGAGTATCTGCCATTTATTAAGGGGTGATTATATGCCAGGGACTATGCTAGTTGCTTTATGGCATTATCTTTTCTCCTCTGTAATCGATTCTTAGAAAGGTGTTATTATTATCCTTAAAAACCACATACACACAGACCGAGGGTACGTGAGATTGACTTACCTGAGGCTGGTGCACTGTGCTGCAGAGCTGCTCAGTGTATGTGTATTAATTGCCTCCACAAACCAGATGTTGCTGTTACTCTCATGTAGTTGTGAGCATTTCTCTTGCTCTTCAGTGTCATCTGAGGACTAGCAGCATTTGTCACTTGGATACTCGCTGAAAGTGCAGAATTTCAGGACCTGATAAGTAAGAATCAACATTTCAGTGAGACCCTTAGATGGTTATGTGCACACTAAAGTTTGAAAAGTGCTAGGCTAGTCCATTTACAAAAGACAATGTTAATGGACAGAATTTTCTCAGTTTGAGGTGGAATACTACTAGCTTGTCTGCCAGCTAGAGCTGGTATGTGACAAAATGAGTAAGCAGTACATAGATACTGGAAAAGATTGCAAATATTTCAAGAGCTAGTTTTATTTTATAACTCATACACTTATGATTATCACTTTATAGTGTTTACAAATCAAACAGTAATATTTTCTATTAAAACTAGGGGCCCAGTTTTAATAGAAAGTGGGCCCCTAGTTTTTTGTGCACCTTGAAAGGAACTGTGGGCCACAAGGCTGCAGTGGGCACAGGAGTGGGTCTTGGCCCATCCTCCATGCCCCTGCCCCTCCCACTGTGGCCCCCGATCCCCCATCTGCCAGCAGCCCCGCTCATGCTGCCATTGCTCCCAAGCGCTGATGGCGCAGAGCGATTAGGGCCGGTGCTGTCAGCAAGTGCAAGCAGCAGCTGCTGCCCTGATCACTCCTTCAGGAGCAGGGGGAGGTAGAGAAACCCTCAGGAGTGACTGGGGCCAGCAGGTGCCACTCGAACCCACTTTCACCCAGCAATTGGGGCTGGTGCCCGCAGTAGGTGCAAGCTCTAGGCTGGACTGTGGCGTGTGAAAGCAAAGAATTTTCAGTAACCATCAGAGGCTCACCCCGATGACAGTGACCGGTGCCTCACATTGGTCTGGAACCCCTGCTCGCCGGCTGCTGACGCCTGTCATGTTCTGCGCATGCCCCCTGGTGGTCAGCACATGTCATAATGACCATTTGTTTGGTGGTTCTGCTGTTTGGTCTATTTGCATATTAGGGTTATATATATATATATATATATATATATATATATATATATATATATATATATATATAGATGGGTTCTTACCCTAGCTGGTTTGGCTTAGTGGATAGAGTGTCGGCCTGCAGACTGAAGAGTCCTGGGTTCAATTCTGGTCAAGGGCAATATGTCCAGGTTGTGGCCTTGATTCCCAGTAGGGGGTGTGCAGGATGCAGCCTATCAATGATTCTCTCTCATCATTGATGTTTCTATCTTTCCCTCTCCCGTCCTCTCTGAAATCAATAAAAAAAAAAATACATTAAAAAAATGGATTCTTACAATCACATTGTAATTTTATCTGCTTCTTGCTATAAAACATGAATTCCTTGAGGGTACTGGGTCTATTGTATTCATCTCTATCTCTGGTGCATAATGCAATACTAGAATACAATAGATGGTTTTTGAATGATTAATTCATGTGATAAAATTATAAACAATATTTTGCAGCAATCTAAAAGGCATGGAATTCTGTAGAGACTTCTCGGTGGTCAACCATCTGATGAATTTGAGAACCACTGGCTTTGTCCCTTTGATTTAATGTCTGTATCTCATTTCAGGGCTGAGGGGAGCAGTAAAATCCAAGCCCGAATGGAACAGCAGCCCACTCGCCCCCCACAGCAATCACAGCCGCCACCGCCTCCACCACCTATGCCATTCAGAGCTCCAACAAAGCCTCCAGTTGGACCCAAAACTTCTCCCGTGAAAGATAACCCTTCACCTGAACCTCAGCTGGATGACATCAAAAGAGGTAGAGGGCATTTTTTGGAGGCACAGTAGCACGTTGGAGTAGTATGGTGATGTTTCTGTGGAGAGCACAAGGCTGCCGTATGGACATGATGGCGTGGGCATTCTCTGCCATTATAGAGCTCACTATTCCAGAGCGATGAGGGTGGGGGCTTTCTCACCTCAGTTGACAGGGGGCGTCCAGGCAGAGAGGCTTGAGTTGCGGCTATCTTCACAGCATTCTGCAGAGAGGCCCGGGATTTAAACAACAAAGGGCCTGTGGCACACCTTCAAGGCTTCAGAAGAAGAAAATTCCTAGGTGCTAGGGGTGAAAACCAGGTGTGCCAGTGTTAGTCTACTATCTAGCTTAGAGGGACTTAAAATTACTATGACCAGTACTTTCTTAAATATATTTTTTTTATTGATTTTTCACAGAGAGGAAGAGAGAGGGATAGAGAGTTAGAAACATCGATGAGAGAGAATCATCGATCAGCTGCCTCTTGCACACCCCCTACTGGGGATGTGCCCGCAACCAAGGTACATGCCCTTGTCCGGAATCGAACCCGGGACGTTTCAGTCCGCAGGCCAACGCTCTATCCATTGAGCCAAACCGGTCCCGGCTGACCAGTACTTTCTACTAGCATAAAGTTTATATATGTGAGAGTGCCATGAGGACCTTGGAAATGGACAGTGGCCTAAAAAGAGGGGTCCGGTGAGGCACTCTCCATTACATACCTGAGAAAAAAGCTTGCTTACCTTGCTTTCTCTTCTTTTCTTTTCTTTTTTAATATATTTTATTGATTTTGTACAGAGAGGAAGGGAAAGAGATAGAGAGTTAGAAACATCTATGAGAGAGAGTCATTGATCAGCTGCCTCTTGCACACCCCCTACTGGGGATGTGCCCGCAACCAAGGTACATGCCCTTGACCGGAATCGAACCTGGGACCCTTCAGTCCCCAAGCCGACGCTCTATCCATTGAGCCAAACCGGTTTCAGCACCTTGCTTTCTCTTCTATGCAATGGATCCCGTTAGTTGTTCAGACTATTGGGAAGTTATGAGGGTAAGTGGCATATTTTATGAAATGAAATTAAATAGATAACAGTAGTGAACAGGGAAAGATAGAGTTGTCCTTGGAGGTTTGCCTTTTCCACCTTATAGATGAGCTCTCTTTTAGCAGAACAAAATCAGTCTGTGCATGGTGCACAGTTAAGCCACTTTTTCCCCCTCATGAATATTGGAATGTCATTTATGGAAGTTTTCACTTTAGTTTAATAGGAATTGTTCCCAGTTATTCTTTAAGGAACCATAGCCATTTAAGGCCACATGGTATGTTTGGACAGGAAAATCTATTATATATCCTTAATATATCCAGGGACATTGACATGTTGAGTAAAACATATTTTCCCTTCCCTGGTTTACATCTGTAAAAATGCAGTACCTGACAGGCAGGACTGCCAGTCAAATACGGAAAGAGGGCAGAGGAGGAATGTTCCACCATGTGTCTTCAGTCGCTGTGGTTCTTCCTGCAAGCTTCCATTTATTCTGGGACATGAAAACTGGAAAGCACCCCAGATCTTGTCTGTTCTGGCCCTGCATTTTTCCGGAGTCTCTTGGAAAATTCATTGGCTTCCACTTAGATCTCCCTGCTGGTTAGATCCAAAACAAGCACTCAGACCTTCCAATTCCTAAATATTTTTCAATCCCTTAACATAAGGGGTGTAACAGGAGGCTCTTATTTGGTGTTTAAATAATTCACAATTTTTTTCTTAGTAGATAAAGACAAAATACAACAGTCATCATCCTGAAGCAGTTTGCTTTTTGGTTATTTGGGGTGAATTTAATGTTTCCATGGTCTCTCTGAAGACAGGTTAGGTATTTTTGTTTAGATCATTTTGTACATTTTTAAGGAATTGAGAAGCAGGATTTCGTTTAAGTTATTCCTCGTTGCTGTTGGTTTTGCCGGTTTACTATTTACAGAAGACTCAATGTGCTGCCTTGAGAGTGGTGGTTGTGTTGACACGTGTGCCGTCTTATTCCAGAGCTGAGGGCTGAGGTGGACATTATTGAGCAGATGAGCAGCAGCAGTGGGAGCAGCTCCTCAGACTCTGAGAGCTCCTCGGGAAGCGATGACGACAGCTCCAGCAGCGGAGGCGAGGACAACGGTCCTACCTCTCCCCCCCAGCCTGCACACCAGCAGCCCTACAACAGCAGGCCTGCCCTTGTCAACGGAACCAGCCGGCCACAGGGGAGCAACCAGCTCATGAACACCCTCAGTAAGTGTGCTTCCCCTTTTCTGGCCGAGTAGGTGGTCTGTGCTGAGTAGGTGCCAGAGATGCAGCTTCTATTTTTCTTAGGTCAGAATCTATAATCCTGGAGATATGTAAGGTATAAGAAAGGATCCTGACAAAGATAATTTGGAACAGAAAGGAATAAGTTATCAAAAAGTAAAAAAAAAAAAAATTAGCACTAAATAAAAAAATAGTAAGAAGGTAACATTGCTTTAAAATTTTGCAAATCTGCCCTAGACAATTTGGCTCAGTGGATAGAGCATCGGCCTGAGGACTGAAGGGTCCTGGATTTGATTCTGGTCAAAGGCACATGCCCAGGTGGTGGGCTCAATCCCCAGTAGGGAATGTGCAGGAGGCAGCCAATCAGTGATTCTCTCTCATCATTGATGTTTCTATTTCTCTCTCCCTCTCTCTTCCTCTCTGAAATAAAAATATATTTAAAAAATTTTTGCAAATCTCTTTAACGTCTGGCTTAGTAGAAAGATGGCTGCATCCACATAATTGTTATTAGTTGTGTAGGGTGAAATATATAAAAAAAATCGACATTAGGTGTGTAGTTAAAAGAAGAAGGACCACAGGGTCCTCAGAACAAACTTGAAGGAGAGATGGCTTAGAGATTAGCAATCCAGAAACACAGAAGTTCACTTCTGTTGAAATCCAATCTGTATCAACTGGGCACCTGTTATTCTCTTATTAGATGGAAATGTTGAGTGCTTATATAAATCTAAATTCTACACACCAAACACAAATATGAGGCTTTACAACACTCATAAGTAAAGGTTTCAGGTTTAAAGTAACATGAATAACCTGGACAGAGGTGTACCAGAAGGGAATTGGATTAGCATGTTATAGGTATAAAAAGTGTCCCTCTGCCTTAGCGAGAAGCCTAATTTGGTATTAGCTTTTATAAAGCAACTTAATGTGAAAAATTCTAGACAATGAGTCAGTTATTTAGAAATACAATATTTTCTTAGTATTAACACATTTTAAAGCTGTCTAGCCTACTCCTCCCCTGTTCTATCTCAGTAAGCAGAATTATTTTGCAGATAATCTCTTCTAAATGTTGACTGCACCTGTTTTGTCACTGAGTTAAATCGAATTGGCTTGGCTTTGCTATAGTGTGATAGCAAAGGCGGTCAACCAAAGAATTGTGGGAAAGTCACTTTTAAATTATGTACTTTTGGTTTGATTCTGTTTTCTTTTTATAGGAAATGACTTGCAGTTGAGTGAATCTGGGAGTGACAGTGATGACTAGAGCTGAATCTTTCTAAATCAACTTTTTGGTGCACAAATATACTGCAAGACCGGGCTACTTTTGCATGGAATCCATTGACAAGAGAAAAATGCTGTGGATCAGTGACTATAGTAGGAATTCGAGGCTCTAAAGCTCTCAGATATTCAAGACTTTAACTTAACGGTGATGGGTGACTTTCTTGTGTAATTATTTGAACAATCTCATGTTTCAAGGTTTAAGTAGATCTATAGAAGAACTAACAATTATATTTCTATTTGGTTAACATTGGCAATGAAAAACAGGCAAATATGCCCTGGTCTAGGTTACTCAAAGGCCATATCTTCACCAGGCCAGTGATTCCATTTTAAACCCTGGCAGCCACCAGTTTGGCCAAGTGTTCTACACCAATGAAACGAGGAACAGTCTTTGAGGGATAGGAGAGAGGGGGAAACCTCAGACTGCCCTTAGAAGTATGCTAAAAACCACTTGAAACGGTGGAAACCAAGTGGTAAGGAAGTTTTGTGTGACAGCCTGGCAAGCCTGTGAAGAAACGGACTTTAAGGTGGAGTCCTCAAGTGTCAGCCGGGCGGGACCCTGGGGTCCTGGCAGTTCAACCCCCTCGTTTACAAATAAGGAAAGGGAAGCACTCAGCTGGTTTAGCCTCCTGCCCCTAATCCAGGCTTTTCCCATTGTGCCCTCCCTTGAGTCTCGTTTGTTAGAATCAGAGCATCCATACATGAGACTTACAGATATACATAGGAACTTGTAGTGGGTTCCAAAAGACAAATGTGTTGTGTACTTCTAGCTCAGATTCAGATCCAGACAGTCCCTAAATGCAGGAGGCTGGGTTAGCAGATTAAACCAGCAGCCACTAAACCAAAACATGACCAGTTAATTTGGGGCTTTTATTTCTGAGTAGACCCATATTAAGTGTTCCTCATTCAGTGGATTGTAGTGGGGGAGGTAGGACTAGAAGAGAGGTGTAGTGAGGAAACCTTTCTAATCAAATGAACCAGCAACAGGTTTTCAGAAACCAGAATCTAAATAGGAGTTCTGCAAAATGAAATGAGCACATTCTTTTTCTGTTCCTGCTTTTGTACCACTTTTTGTGCCTGATTGCCAGACTGATTTGTAGTTTTTATATACAGGTAGAAGAAAGTCACAGGTTGCCTTCTGCAGTGTGCAGTTTTCAAGTGAATCTGTTGTTGCAGCAAACTGGTCACTAGTAATTGTTTCATATTGAGTGAATACGTGATAAATTGTCCCATAATTAGTTTGTCCCATTTCTGTAATTTGAATGAATATGTCTGGAGAAATTTCCATCTACTTTGGTTTAGCGGGTATCAGTAACATTTAATATGATTTTCCTTCCTGGGATCCCTCCACTCAGATGGCCTCTCCTTCCCAAGCTAGTGGAGGGATGCAGTCTTGACCTAGAAGGGAATTAGATGATCCAAGGTGGTGGCCTTGGTTAGAGTTGAGCCTTATAGAGTCACCTGTTTTAACTGCATAGTGATCCCAGTGAGCTGGGGGTGTGGACCAGCAGTCACTGTCCAACAGCACGCTCATACCATTCTACCAAGTGTAGGTAATAGGTCCACACTGGTACCCTGTAGTGGGTTCTCAGCCCATCAAGAGGTGTCAGTGGGTTTAATGGCACGTAGGAACTTATTTATAATGAATTGGTAATTGTTTTATATTTCCTTAGTAATGACAGCTCAGGGAGGGTGAAGGTCATGATTGGGAAACATGAATTGTTACTGGATGTAGGAATGTTTCACTGCTCTTGACTTGCTCAGCTGGGGCAGGTTTCAGGAACTTGAACTGAAAATATTTAAGCCTCTTTTTCCCCCCTCTGCTCCCCAAAGTGTTCACATACATAGACAGCCCGTGGTTTTGGCATGTCAGGTAAAGATGTTTGTTCTATAGGAAATACTTGCATGTGGCACTTGGGTTGGCGAGTCAAGCTCTCTGAGCTTCAGGCTCTCCTGTCACCCATCATCCCTACAGGCATGGTCATCCTCTAGCCTAGCTCCAGTTTGGTTCTCTGCACAAATCCCTCAGTAATTCCCTCCCCTGCCCTCCAGCTTCACCCACCACAGTAAAGAATCTTTTGTTTTTGGAAATCAAGAATTTGGCCTTACAGACTACTCACGATTACCTTCATGCCAGGCAAAATGGTCTTGTTCTTCCTGCCTCTGTGCCTTCTCAGTGTCTCCTCTTCCCCAAACCTGACTCCTGAGGTGCCATCTCCTACAGGTACCATTTTCATGGACCTTTCCTCGGTTCTTTTCAACCAGCTGGAGTGTTGTGTCCATACTGACTTCCTTGCTCAAGCTCTGGTTGGTGTGAACTCCTTACTTAAAGGCAGGGACTGTCATTCTCATCTCATCCTCTGGGATGTCCACAGGCATACACATTCAGATGCTTATAGCTGGTAGGGAGGAGGCAGAGAGAACCAACAAGTAGAGTAGAAAGGGTAGACATAGAGAAAACATTCCAGGCATCTGGAGAAAACTGAAAAGTATCCATGCTGATTTTCATCATTTTGAAGTTTCTAACTGAATTGTTAAAATCACCTTTTCGTTCTATGTCTACCATACTGTGGGTCATTAGGCAAGGTGTAAAGACTTAAGTCCGAATTATCCGAGGGGCCACAGTAAAGACGTGATTTGGAAAAAGTGAATACACAGGAACTAGAGATTTGTAACGATGCCACTCATTAACCATTTTACTTCTGTAACAGGATCATTCTATGTGTGGTATTATATGTATGTGCTTCAGTAGTGGGAAAACTTGAAAATTCCAAAATCCTTACTGCCCTATTCAATAGGCTGGTTAAGTAGGATATGCGTGGGTGTGTGTGATGTATTTATTACATTATTTTGAAAGAGTAATACTATGTTATGTGGGTATATATTAAGTACAGCCAAATTGGATGTTTCCATTTGGCAAGGAAGGTAGGATTTCTGAAACTCAGGCCTTAACCAGTAGGTTGGAAGACAAGACCAATTGAAGCTTTATGAAATGTGTGTTTTTATTGCTCCTTTTATTTCTGTCTTGGGTTCATTGTCTCATTCTTTAATGTTTTTAAAATTTTGTGCTTAAAAGTTTATTTTGCTTAATTATGAAGTAGATGTGCATGTTTACATTTATGTAAGATATTTGCTGTGTAAAGTGTTGTTGTTTATTCTCTTAAAAGATCACTATATTTAAGTAAAAATGAAGGTCAGCAATATGCTTCTTGTTTTATTTTCATACCAGAAATTATGCAAAATGTACGATTCTTTTAAGAATCCTTTGTGCCTAACCCTGATTATCTAAATTGATTCCTTAGTTTGGTGTTATGCTTATTAGGATGTACACCTCAGTTTTAAAAGGTAAGTTCAGAACTCAGGATGACTTCAGTAAGCCACATGGCATTTGAGGCCATTTCCTTTGGTTTAGAAAGGCAGGCTTAGTTTTGGGTCTGAGAACCATGCAAGGGTGCAACTGCAACTGAATCCCTAGGCACATCCTAGTATTAGCTCACCCCGCTCCTTCCCTGGAATTGACACTCGATAGCTGGAAGGGACCCTGCCTCCGGCTTCTGTTCCACATTTGTTACCAACAGTGGCCACATCTGTCTTGTGGTCTTAGCTTCCTTGATAGACTGCAACTCCTTGGTGGGCCATGACCATATATTTCTTTTTAATTCTGAGGCTGCTAAATAAATTTAGATGAAATGTAATTACACGTCAAGAGATCTAGGCCAGGAATCCTTTGCTGCTTATTCTGCAAATGGCTCCCATTTCCTCAGGTGGAAATAGGAGTTAGACTTGAGCCAGGTCTCAGTGGGGAAGTGGGGGTGTACATTCATCACCTAAGAGTTTAATGCTCTTTTAACTGTTGTCACTATAATGACAAACCCCAAACTCAATGGCTTAAAATAATATGCATTTATTTTGCTCACGAGTCTGGATTGGAGATTTAAACTGGGTGGCTGGACAGTTTTGGTCTTGCTTGGGTGCCTCCTCGTGCCTGGCAGTTGACAGGTTCAGCTGATCTAGGCCTTGGCACAACTTGGGCTGGTTGGCTCCATGTGTCTTGTCCTCTAGCATCCTAGCCTGGGCATGTTGTCATGGCAAAGGTAGAGGTGCTAAAGTGAGAGGAAACAACTGCCACTGTCACAATTATTGACATGTCATTGACCAGAACAAGTGACAGGGCCAAGTTCAGAATCAAGGGGTGGAGAAGCACACTCCAGCTGGAAGAGTTGCAGAGTGCACTGAAAAGGTATGGATACAGGGGTGTATGAACATTGGGACAATCAACCTATTACCTCCACATAGCCCATGTCTCCTTCATGGTTGAGAACCCTGGGCCATATCATCACTAAGGAGGCCCCTCTAGCTCTGGCTTTTCTCACCAGATAAAAGTCCCAATGGGAATTAAGAACATTTCTATTTATGGCGCCTGCAAGGGGCGCCAAACCCAAGTCAGAGGCTTCTCTAGGCTTGGCACTTCCTTGCATATATTTCTCTCCCCTTTCTACCCTAGAGCAGTACTATGGTTATCTATGGCTAAGTAACAAACTATCCTAAAACTTAGTGGCTTAAAACAACAACCATTTTATCTAATTCAATCTGTTGGTTAGTAATAAGGACAGAATTTGGCTGGGCAGTTCTCTGTGGCTTCAGTGAGGTCACTCAGTGGTATTCAGATGGGCAGGACTGGAGAGTCCAGACTGGTTTTACTCACATGTCTGGCACATGGTGGGGATGCCTGGAAGCAGGCTCATTTAAGACCATCATCCGAAGGGGCTTGCACGGCTCTCTAGCTGGGCAGTCTCGGGATAGTTGACATGATGCTGCCTTCCCCTGAGTGTTCTGAGAAGCTGTACGGCTTTTATGACCTATCTTGGGGATTCACACAGCATCATCTCCACAGTATTCTATATATCAGAACAGTCAAAAGCCCAACTAGATTCAAGAGGAAGGGAAATAGAAAACCCTCCTCTCCCAATTTCCTTTAATGGAAGA